TTACCATCATCACCATTTGCCACTGTTTTAATGCTTCTATCATATACAAAAACAAAACCAGGAAAGTTTAGTACCCAGCATAAACACTGAAAAAGAAATGAAATTGTTTTTTACTGCTGTTATTATTGTATACCTGAAAATTTCAAAAGATGACAGTATAAAATTAGGATGATTCCTCAAAACATCAAGAGGTAGGTAGATAGAGAAGTTTAAAAAGTGAAGGTCTTTTCTCTATTTTAGCAATTAGCAAACAAACAAAATATTCCATTTGCCATAGCAAGAACACTAATTCTTAGGAATGAATTTAACAAAAAAGATACAAGATCTATATGAAAGCAATTATGACTTCTTTAACAGACAAGGAAAAAAAAGACCTAAACAAACAGAAAAATACACCATATTCTTAGATGTGCAGATATTATAAACAATGTTGAACTTACACCATCAATTGATATGTAAATTAAATGCAATTCAAATAAGAATCTCTATATAACTTTATGAGGGGAGTGGTGGTGGGGTGGTGAGATTAGATAAATGATTTTAAGGTTTTTATGAAAGATTAAATTTGCAATAGTCAAGAAAAGTACAAAATAGAAAACAGGAAAGTCTTGCTTTCACAGATATGAAAAATAATTCAAAGCTTCTTTAATCAAAACAGTATCAAGACAGGAATACACGACCAGATCAATAAACAGAATAATCTAGAAATCAAATCCAGTATACATGAGAATTTAAGATATGACAAAGATGGTAGTTCTACTCAGTAGAAAAATGGGAGTAGCACAACTGGTTATCCATCTGGAAGAAAGTAAAATTGGACTGCTATCTTATGCCATGCACAAAAATAAATTCCAGATGGATTAAAAACATAAAAATTAACACATACGATAAAAATCTTACATGAAAATCTTGGAAACTAAATTTACAAAATCTAGAGATAGAAGAGACCATAACCAAGACACAATTTTCCACATAAAAACTGAAACTGTTTTGTATGGCATGAAACCATATAAAGTGAATAGAAAACTTATAGCTCTTAAAAAAGGTATTTATAATGCAGACGCAAAGGATTAACATACATAATACATAGAGAGTGCTTAGAAACTGACATCTTAAAAAGATTTATTAGACAAACATACAAAAAGTATGAAGAGAATACAGAAGACCAAATTGCTCAAATTTGCTAGTAGTCAGGGAATTGCTAACTAAAGATATGCTGGCATCGCTAACATCCACCGATAGTAAAATTTAAATACAGTGATAAGTAATACTGCTTGTGATATGTGTCAGCAGGTACTCTGCCAGTACAACTACATTGCTGGTGGAACTGTGAACTGTCATATTTTTTTAAAGAAGCAAACTGAAGTAAATTAAATACAAAAATTAAATAACCATTTTAAAAAACAAGTTACTCTTTGATCTAGCAATCATGCTCCTAAGACTCTATTCCACAAAGCTAAAAGATTAAGAACATGTGTAGGGATGTTTCCTGAACGAAGCTAAAAACCAGAAACAAAGTAAAGGCTCACCCATAGAAGAACGGTTGAATAAAAGATTATACTTAAAAACAAGCAAAATAAATATATACACAGACACAATGTATGAATACATTATGTATGAAGAAACTCTTATTTACATTCAAGGATAAACAAATAGGGTAATGGAAAAGAAACCGTTTTGGAGTCAGTCCTGAGTTCAGACTCTGCCTCTACAATTTACTTAACTAGCTTAGCATATTGTTAAGTCTCAGTGAGTCAATGTTTCTTCATTTCTAAAATGGAAATAGTAATCACCACCTCACAAGGATTTTCTTAGGATTAATGAGATAATGGATATAAAGTGCTTTGTATAACATCTGACACATACTAAGTGCTGAAAAAAGGTAGCTATTATTATTGGTGTATTATTTTCCTCCTGGATCCCTACTGAAATGAAAAAACTAAAAAGTTTTCACTTTAAAAAGGAAAACGGGGAAGAGTGCCTTTAACTCCATTGCTTATAGAAACAAGAAACACTTTTAAAAGCATACTATACAATTTTGTGTTACTGAAAGGTCATTTATCCTTGGGTTAAGAAAAGGTATATGGAAAAATTCCTACACGTACCCCCTTCAAGACAGGCTTGACAACTGAAGATGACGATAAAGATATTCATCAGTTTTGTTTGCCAAGTTAACTTTTTTGGCCTTCATTCTACAAATTAAGCTATTCTTTCTTGCTTTAAATTTAGTCTTTGAAGACTAAGCAAAAAAACCTTCCATATATTACATGTAAAATTTCAGAACAAAATGCATATCTAGCAAAGAAGCCATGTTCAGAATAATTTCTAGAAATTAATAGGATATGTACATAAATATTAATAGTATTGTCTAAATATGTACAAATCCTGCTATGTGCAAGAATGTTCACAGCAGCTTTATTCATAAAAGCAAAAAGTAAAAAAAATCAAACATTATAGAAGAACAGATTTAAAAGTGTGTAGTTTATTCATAAAATGGAATACTCTCAACAATTAAAAAAAAATAAAAACCAAAAAACTAGAACTGATACATTCCCAAAATGGATGAGCAAAAGAAGTCAGATACAAACAAGTAACACACCTTATGACTGTATAATTGCATTTCAATGGAATTTAAAAACAAGCAAAGCTAATCTAAGGAGAGAAAAGTCAGAATAGTGATTACTCAGGGGTATAATAGGGGTGGTTATGACCAGACAGGGACAAGAATAACTTTTTAGGGTGATAGATTTGTTCTTGGCAGTAGTCATAGCACTGTATTTATATGTAAAATGTCACGGAGCTGTACACTGTAAAATTGTGTATTTTGTCCTATGTAAACTACAGCTTGCTGTAAAAATAAATTTTAAAAATGTAAAAAGTAGGTTCTCCTCCCTCCCACAAATCTTCAGAATAAGTTAAAAAATGTAAATTACCATTCTCATACAATGATAACTATCATTTCCAGAAAGAAAGGAAAGAAAAGAAAAGCAAACCAATTTACATTGGATATCGCTGTGGTTTTTTAAAAAAGCATTTGCAAATATTATGATGGCTAAATAATATGTATTTTCTGATCATCTACCAGCAATTTCAACTAATATATATCCATTTAAAAACATTTTAAGATTCTAGTCATATACATGATAATAAGAGTTTAATATGAAATACAAAGTGCATGTCACCAATATATTTTGTTAGTAGACAGTCTTTTATACATCATATAACCACCAGGTCCCCTTTCTAGAAACAGATGTCACCATTTTCATGGAACTGGGAAAACAGAATCCAATCAATCACAGACATTTCACATCTTTAAATTATTTGTATGAATAACCTTACCAAAAATATTTAGTTTAAAGCAATAAACTCTTAGAAATCCTTTTTTTTTTTTTTTTTTTTAGACAGAGTCTTGCTCTGTTGCCCCAGGTAGAATGCAGTGATGTCATTATAGCTCACTGCAACCTCTGGCTCCTGGAGCTCAAGCAATCCTCCTGCCTCAGCCTCCCTAACAGTTGGGACCACAAGCGTGCGCCACCACGCCAGGCTAATTTTTTCTTTTTTTAAATTTCAGAATATTACTGGGCTACAAATGTTTTGGTTACATGGATTGCTTTTGTACTGCCTGAGACAAACTTATAAGTGTACCCATCACCCAGATAGTACATTGTACCCATTAGGTATGATTTCACCCATCCCCTCCTGCCCCCTCCCATCTCCTTGAGTTCTATTGCAACAGGCATTCAATAAACACTGGTTAAACATTTATATCTATATGATGGAAGGAATCAGAATATTACTTGAAATACAAAACATCTGTCTGAAAATAATATGATGAGAAGGAACACTAATATTGTCAAGACATAAAAATTGTTCTCTGGCAAAGGAAAGGTCCCATCTCACATTTAAATGCTGTTCTTCCCCATAAGCTATTTTTTGTTGTTGTTTTCGTTCTTTAAATAACAACTTTATAGAGATATTATTCATATCTTACAAGGTTTTAACATTTTTTTAAGAAAAGATTTCACCTTTTGTCACACTGAAAAATTCTCATGTATTATTGAGGATTCTGAGCAATCCATTCATTAACTCAGGTTTAGGATTTGCATATCATTGGAAAAACTGCTTCCTAAAAATAAAGACTTCAGGAATTTGAGAAAACTAAAAATAAAACCAGTAATACAGACACAGTGGCACACAACATTGCCTAACCTTACAGAATATTATTTTAAATCT